TAGGGGACTTGGGAGTTAAGCACACGCTACCAATGGACATGTTTTGTGATAGCAAATCAGCGCTACACATAGCAGCCAATCCAGTTTTTCACGAGAGGACAAAACACATCGAAGCCGACTGTCATAATGTGCGTGATGCTGTGGAAGATCGGCTAATTGTGACAAGACATGTTCGAACAACTGAACAACTTGCTGACTTGATGACGAAGGCACTGGGGAGTGCTCAGTTTCATTATCTTCTTGGCAAGTTGGGTGTACGTAACTTACACTCTCCAACTTGAGGGGGAGTGTTGAGAATGGTTGATGTAAACCGGTTTGGTTGAGGCTAACCAAACCATACGTCTAGAAGATAAGTGGAGTCGATGGGATAAGCATGAAGGTCGCTGCGGATAAACACCAGAGATACGATAAGCATCATGTAGATTTGCAGTTGAGATAGATTATATTGTTGAGAGTATCTTATGTAACGAGTATATATGTACGTAACCTGATCATTGAATAACACACAGAACAGTTCTACAGATTCTCTCTAAGTTAACAGTATTTTTAGAATAAAAAGAATGATTATTTTTTATTATTAATAATTATCCGCAAAATTAAATGGAGCAGATACGGATAAAATTTATTTTCATTGCGGGTCAGGCATGACGAATTTGACCTGTTTCTCAGCACCAAACGTAGTTAATTGATATTAATTTTCCAAAATAAAACTACACAATTACATATAATACATTTACATATATATTGATGATAAAAATAAATTAAAATCTACAATAATTTTAGAAAGTTATATTAGACAAGAATATTTTATATCATCAAAGCAAAAAAAAATTATCGATCCATCTATAGATAAAACAACAAAAATGGTATTCGCGCCTTTTAAGCGCATGTCAAAAATCTAGTATAGATTAAAGTAGAAATACCTCATGCTCAATGTTAGCCCAAAATTGGATACAGTTTTGCCAATGCATCGGCTTCTCTGTTATGGTCACGAGAGAATTCGAGGCTAAGAAGAACGAAGCTAAACCTGCTTGCTTCATATGTCGATTCCAAGCCACATCCGTTTTGCAATAGATTGTTGCCGGTAGATCTGTTGGTGGATTCGTCCGTTGGTGGATTCACGTTCCTCAATTAAGCCGGTAAGATCTTTGTCTTTTGTGTTCCTGGTATATTGGCACTATTCCATTCCCTTGCTAGTTTCAGGCTTCTTGCTGCAATTTATTCAGAGGTGTAGGTGCGGTTTTCAAAGATAAGAGAGTTTCTTGGTAACCACAAGGACCAGCACACCCATGGTAGTATGTTGTTAGTGACTCCTATCGGGCGAAGACAGGTAGAGTTCCTGAATTTGACCAGAGTCTTTTTGAAATCATACTCCATAGTTATGTGAATTACTCTATGGAGGGAAATCGGTTAAGATACTTTCCTTACTGAGGTACATTCAAAGAAAATATGCGTCATAGTTTTAGTACCTTGACAGAAAGGACATGTTATATTTGATTGAATCTTCTTCTTAGCAGGTTGCTTCTTAATGGTAGAGCTTCTTGATTGATGGATGATGTCTTGCATATTTTCATTGTTTCACCCATTCATCCATGTGTATTTTGATCATATAGACTAGGATTTAGTCATTTTTAGGTTGTATTTTTCATACATGAGTCTTTATCAGGTGTTGGAGTGTGCCATGGAGTGATTTGAGATGTTTGGGAGCATTGTGATCCAATAGGGGGTGAAAGATGAGAATGAATGGAGCCTTTAAAGAAATCTTCTGTTGCTAAGATTTTGTGGAGACACAGCAAATTGAGTTAGCTTTCTAATGGAAATGGTTTCAAGTCATTTGAAGATGTAATAATGGAGTTATGACCAATTTACTAGAGGCATATCCACCTTGTTCGAGCATCTTGGAGCGACCTACCAAGGTCGCTCCCAGCCAGAGCGACTATCTCAAGTCGCTCCAGCCAGAGCGACCTCTCGGAGCGAGGCACCTAGGTTGCTCGCCTTTTTATCAAATCCAGAAGCCGAAACAGCCCTGGAGTGACGTCTCGGAGCAACGTCCATAGGTCGCTCCCAGCCACAGCGACCTCTTGGAGCGACGTTCGAGGTCGCTCCGCATCATTTGTTTGGTCGAAAACTTGTGTTATTTCAGGGACCTTTTGGTCATTTGTTTCATATTTTTACACTTTCTAAACCTAAGTTTAAGTACCCTTTTGTAGCCGAGGAGGCAGATTATCTCTTTTCTAGAGAACAACTAGTAAAACTTCTTTTGATTCAGATTTCATTGCTTTCATCTTGTGTTCTTGTTGGTTTCTTATCTATTTATCTACATGATTAATCTGAAATCCAATATGGGTTTAAGAGGAATCATGGAGATTAGTGAGTAATCATCTTTTGAATTCATGGGTTAGGGAGATTAAGGGTGATTAGGTTAGTTCTAGGTTGTTTTAGTGTATATCATTCTTGTTCCTTGCTAGTAGAGTATTCATAATGCATCTTCTGAGTTAGCCACTCAAAAGTTGATCAATAGGCATTTCCCACCCAAAAGGTGTTTGATGAAATGCATGAGACAACTCTCCTAGGCTTTTCGTATACTTTGCCAAAGGCATTTGTTGTTAAAGGTGCTAAGATAGCTAATAGACTTGTTAGTAATGATTGCTTTCATATTATTCAACTAAAGATAGTTGATGTTTGAGATATGTTAGCAAATGAGCATTCATCTTGACATAGAGCTTGTTTAGAATTGTGTCTAGGCTTAAGGTTAATAGTTTGATTGATCATTTGCCATCCTTAGTTCGAAACTTGATCACCCAAGGTCTAATCCCTATGCCCATGAGTTCTCTTTTCCTTTAGTCAAGAAAGTATCATTCTGTTATTGTTTTCTAGTATTAGTAGTAGTTTAAAATCATCTAAACCATTGGTTGCACTTAGATTATATTAGTACTTATATTCTCGGTGCTTTGATATTCCTCAGAACTGGTTCGACAATCTTTTATACTACATCATTTGTCTTAGGAGCCTTGAAAACTCCTAACTTCAGTGGACTAAAATAACACCCTCATCTTTGGGGATAAATTATAGTTATTAACGTCAAAAGTGACAATAATTCATCACCCGAGTCCACCATTTCCAATAGTTGCAATGATTTATAATAATTGTAATAGTTTTCAAGAATTGAAATACCAAAAACTAAAAAAAAAAACTGAACCAAAACCGAATCGACATCCGGACTGAAAACCTAAGTCTGAGGAGCTCGAAACTCCATCTGAAACATATGCCGCCGATATGGTATATCTTTAAAACAATAAAAATACATGTGTGTTATATAAGAATGTATATGTATTTTATGTCTGCATAAAGTTAATTTAGTGTATTTAATTTGTGTCATCAACAAACTAATGAGTATAATCAAAATAATACAGATGAGAAGAGAGGGTTCACTTACAATAGAAGGTAATATTGTTTAAATTTCTATTTACTAGTTAATATATTCTATAATTATTATTTTTTGTAATTTCATTCTATAAAATTTTGATAAAACGATATCTTAGAATTTCTAATTTATCTAATGTTGTTTTGTATTTTTGTGAAGGATGTCCGAAAGCATGTGATTTTTGATGTTCAGCAACATCCCATAAGAAACCATGTCTATTTTTTCGCAACTATTGTTGTAAAAAATGTTTGTGTATACCGTAAGCAGTGTTTTGAAACCCGGCCCGAACCGATAAATCCGGTGATCGAAAATAAATCTGGTTTGGGTTTTGTTAAAAATCCAAAATTTAAAAATCCGTTAAAACCCGCAAAAACTCACTAAAACCCAAAATCCGATGCCGGTTGAACCAATAAATAAACTTCTACCTTTTTTAGTTTTAAATTATGTTTTTATTCTATTTTATATTCTAAATTTCTAATTTAAAAGTTAGGGTTTCACGTTTTAGTTATTGGCATTGTCGTCTTCTTCTTTAAACTTAGATTAAATTTTCTGACTTTTTATCATATATAATACCTACTACACTATTTTATCTGTGATTTTCAGATTTTGATGAAGATTTCACTATACCACCTGAAGAAAATGAACTGAAGGGTGGTAACGAGAACCAAAATTAGTTAATATGATTTGGTGTTAGTTTATTTTGTTATTGATAATTTATTACAATGATGTTTTACTTTTGGTTTATTTTGGATTTGAAGTTTAATTTATTATTTTTATTATATATTTAAATATTTATGAATTTTATATCTTGATTTTTTTAGATGTCATTACTCTTAAATTGTTATAAAAAAATTTAAAAGATCTAAACTAGTTTTTGATATTTTGTATATTTATATATTTTATGTTTTAAAAACATTTAGAAAATATTTAAATTTAGTTTCTATATTTTTATTTTCATAGCTAATATATTATTATTATATAATAAAATTTCATTTATAAATTTGCGGTTCATCCGCAGTCGATCCAATGATCTAATGACCCGATAAGTCATCCGATTCATTGTCCGAGTTGGGTTTAAAAACATTGACCGTGAGGGCCAAATGGAAATAAAGAAGAAGGCCCTTGTTACAGTAACTGGAAAAACAATGAAGGTGGACCAAAGTGTCCATAATTATCGAAAAGAAGAAACATAAAAGATATGCTATAGTTTCTCTTAATATATGTAGGTTCAAAATATAACATGTTATAGTTTTCTTAAAAATAAAATCTATGTATCTGGTCAATGCTTATTCTTAATATATAAATAAAATATGAAATCGCATTCTATTGCCAGACTCAAGTTATGAAGACATAGAAAATTGGTTCCCAGTAGTCCCATAAATGCAAAAATAGCCTTTGCTTCTTTTTACTACAGATTTCGTTTTGATAAGTAATCAGTTTATGTTCTTTAAGGAACCTGACTTAGGCTCTTGGACTAGTACAATCGAGATTCGCCATGTATAGTCCATACAATAGTTCAACAGATACTAGTATACAATATATCATACACATGCGTGTAGTAGATTTCTTTTTTTTTTTGATAAACATGCGTGTAGTAGATTTTGCTTCCGATAATAATATAAATGGAAACACACAAGCATATATACTAAAGAAGAACCATAGAAAAAGCAAAAGAAAAAATCAGAATATATTTATAAAAAAAAAATTAATAATCTGATCAATTGCCAAATGCAGGTACACAGTTCTCGGAGCGTGTGCAAGTCGGTGGTGAGCCGTTGATAGATTGACAGCTTTCGGTAGTAGTGCACGTAAAAGTATAACACTTGGAGAAGTACGAGCTGCATGGCTGACAGAGAGAAGACAAGTATCCTCCTGGAATAGGACCATGGTGATCAGGCTGATAAGTGGTCGCCATGTTTTTCAAAGTTTTCTCGCCCCCGCAGCGTATTGATCTGCTCGGTACAGTCCCCATTTTGGAGCTTCTGTTGTCATCGCCATTCAAATTTCTCCTCGCATTGATCGTCTCTTCTGCATCACCCATACAGTTCACACTTCATTTTATAGCGTCAAGCATCATCAAGCCTTTGGTAATATAATATTAATCATATTTATCAATATATTGAACTAATTAGTAACAAAGTGACTAGGTTGACAAAAAAAAAAGGTATGTAACTAAATAGCATACTTCACAAAAATGGATTTTAAAAGAAATATAGCACATATACTTTAAAAGATCGATTCTATTAAAGTTAGAAAAAAAAAAGATCAAAATGATTAATTTTTTTAATAGAAGATATGTTTTTTTCTATTAATCTGGAAAATCATTTGAGTATGGTTAAAAGAGATGTAGGAAGATATGATTTTCTCAAATCTATAATAACGAAAATTAGTATGTGAACACTTGTGCCTAGATCAAATCTTTTAATTGTTATCAACATATGTCTTTTACTAATTAAAAACCATCATAAGTAGATGAAAAAAAAAAAGCTCACTAAGTTTACGGATCTCAGTCTGAGCACCAAATGCGTCATCCATATGAATTAAAAACACCAAGAGGAGCAGAAATAGCAGTGAAGAAACTGGAGAAGACAACATCTTTAATAACTCACAATCTCTTGTATTGTTCTAATCACTATGACTGGCAATGATACGTTTATATATAGTATAGAGAGGTAGAGATAAGAGAGAATTAAAACATACGGTAGACTTTAAACCAAAAAGAAGAAGAAGGTGGGCGAGAAAAGAAAGAGAGTTGCTGAAACAGTGGACGACAGAGTTGTCAACTTGTCACTAGTTGGTTTTGGGTTGCAGTGGTCTCCTTAGAGCAGGATTAATGGAGGAGATCCCCACTAATTTTGGGTTTCAGTGGTTTCCTTAGAGAGGGGAGCTTAGGAAAAAATTAACAAATTAGTGGGGTAGATCCCACTTAAACAAAAAAACTGGTGCTTCTTGCGTCAAGTTATGTAGGTTGCTAGTACTATTCACGTGCTTCACTGACATATGGTGGTATGCGATTGTTTCATTTTAAAAAAAAAAATTCTTTTTAAATCAGAAAAAAATAAATTTAAACACCACATTATAGGAGTTGTGTTAATCATGCTTTTAAAACAACATTATTGGTGTCCTAAGCCTTGGTCTTTAATACTTTTGGCGTAAGACCCATCATTTTTTTGGTAAAAAACATTTTTTTTTGCCCTTAAATAAGTAAAGTTCCAAACTTTGTCCCACATTATTTGTGAGTCCCACTGACACGTGACGGTCTGCAATTGACTGATTTTTAATATATATTTTTTTAATCAGAAAAAAAAGTTTTTAAGGACCAAAAAAAGTCATGTCAATAATGATGGCCTTAATCCTTTTTTTTTTTACTAGCCGAGTATCCTGATCCCACCGTGGTGGTCCAGACTAGAGATCGAAGTGAGCATGGATCTAAAGGTCACCATTGTGGATCACCGTGTAACAGTTTTCGATCTCGGTTGCTACAGCCCATATATAAATTCCGCAGTAGTTAAGATTCAAATTCAAGGGCGGACACTCCTGTTAAAGCTTCTTTTATCACTAGACCAACTTGGTTATGGTTATGGTCTTAGTCCTTACACCATGCTATAGTAAACTTGGTCAAGTTGTCACTAGGAAACAATATGGGAAAGTAATACACATGACAGATGTTCAAAATGACAAGATACGTTTATAATATAGACAAAGACCAAGTCTCGAATTCTCGAACACACGGCCGTATATACAAAAAGAAGTGAACCATATTCACTTTGAATAATCCGTACGAAAAAAGTTATCCATATTTTGTTTTTTTTTTAATGAAAAAGTATCCATATTTTGGCTGGCACTGTCGCTAGACAACAACTCCAGAACTATTATTTTTCGTGAAAATATCCGTTCCTAGTGAACAATTATTTTCTGTTATTACATTATATTATGATAGACAGTTGTGTTGATAGTTTATATAACCAGTTCGACCTTTTGATCGATGTTTATACGTCAAGCCTACACGTTCAGAGTTGGTTAATTTGTAAGATGTATGCACTCCCGTATCGCCACACATGATTGTGTAATAGCAGAACTTACCAATAGAAAAATTGCTGTTTACTGTCACATGGAGCCAAACATGATAATATAATTGCAGATCGTGTCCATATAGCAATATTGAATATCAATCTGTTAAGCCAGAACATTAAGATCACATGATAATATAATTACAGATGGTGTTCTTCCTTTGATGTCAATATGATCTCAACCTCACGATCAAACAAGGCTGTTCCTGAGGAACAGTCCAAATGTATAATATAGAAGCGCTTTCTAGTGTAACAAAAGCCTCAATGACAGCTTTTAATATTTGTTCGTTCGTTGTAAAACACTCAAGCGACTTGTGTCAAGAATTCTTCAACAAAATAAAAGCTGGAGAGAGATCTCTCAGTATAGTGTCAATATATTATTCTGAAAAACTTTTGTTTTTCTGGCTACAAGTAATAAAAGAGTTTCTTTTTTACTTTTAAACAGTGTGTACACCACACTTATTCCAAATGATTTACTTCTTTAGCTTAGAAAAGTATAAACACCTTATTAAGATATTATGAAGAGGAAGAAGCAGAGTTAGAAATAAGAAGCTTCCAACTTCTTAGCTTTCTCTCCTGCACTCTCAGCCTCTGCACTGCCTTCCATGGCATAACTCTTCTCCTGCAACCACAAACACGACATGGATTTTTCTCAGCACCAAAATCCATTGAGACATGACAAAAACTATGTGAGATCCTGCTTGAGAATGCATTATTATGTTTACCAGTAAACGCCACGTGAAAGGAACACCATCTCTGACCTTGATTCTCTCTCTTATCACTTCTTTTGCTGCAAATATCAGAGCCAAGTGAATTCATTGTTTTATACTAAACAAGATAATTATTTTAAAGACTCAACAAACAGTACGTACCAGTGGAGGATTGGCCTGTCTTTAGCAGCAGTTGGCACCACATTTCGTTGAAAACATCAATCTGTTCATCTGATGCCGCAATCATCTATCATCAACCATCTAACATCATCAATTGAGTTTGATCCAAAAACTTTTTTGAGTTACTAGATGGAGATTTGTTTTACCTTGTAACCAAAAGCGTTAAAATCTGAACCAAGTAGTTCTAGAGCCTGCTTGTAGTTACCCTTTGCGTATTCATAAACAGCTTCTCCGAGCTAATATGAAAAGAACACAAGCCTGATATTAAAGAGTGTGTAAGAACAGAGAAGAAGGTCAAAAAACGGGGAGAACAAACCTGAAGCCCTTTCTGCATCACTTGTTGTTTCTTCTTGTTCATCTTTGATACTCTACAAGAACAACATATTTTCACAACAGATCTAATTTCTTAAGATACTGCATAAGTAAAGAAATTCACACTAACCTGAACTTCAGACCCTCGAGTAATTCATCAGCTTTTGAAGTCTCTCCAACCTTGGCTAATGCCCAAACTATCAATATGTCAAGGTGCCATTTCACATACCAGTTTTCCTAAAGATGTCAAAACCAAGAAACCAACTAATAAAAACCCATTGCACAAACACATATCATCCCACAAGTGCATGGCTTACCTGATCAGTCAAACGAGCTGCAAGGAGTTTGAGACGGTCTTCAAATGAACCTTTAAGAGCATCTCTTACATCCAAACGTACTAACAGACCAAGAGCATTGAGGTAAACCTATAGAGTTAGAGACATTATGAATTTTGGATAGAGGAAGTAAGAAAGCATAAAGTTCCTAAATCCAAAAGAGGCTTACTTCGGTAGGAACTGCCTCGTCTTTCTCCAATTCATTCCAGATGTGATTATCATAAATCTCCTCTATTTTGCTCATTGGTGACCCTCCTTCCAAGTAACAGAGAGCAATATGCCACCAATTGTGTGTGTACCTGACAATTTTAGGGAGAAACATGTTAATCCACAACTGTAGAGGATAAGAGAGGAGCTTTGTAAAATGTGGGAGCCATCAGGAAATGGTTTACATGAAGGATGAGCAAGAGTGCCAAGATTCTGCGAGTTCTTCCATGAGCTCCACTGCTTCTTTAAACTTGCATTCATGGTGAAGAACATGACACAACTGCAACAACAAAAAGTAAGATAGGTAAAGAATAACTGAGTGATAAGTCTGACATGAAACTGAGAAAAAAAAAAAAGGATGCAAAAATGTTGAATTGTTGGAGAAACTCACACAGTGATGTGCCCAGGCGTCTTCTTTGTTAATCTCATAGCCTTTTTTCGAAGCTGCGGCAGCTTCTTCCATTCGACCAAGTTCTAACAAAGGGAACGCAAGCATACCGTGTATGTAACTTTCTTCTTGATTCACTGGTAGAACCTACAAATATATTAGCAGATAAAAAAACAACTTTTAACAGCCTTAGACCGTGAGAATATCTGTTCAGTGACAGTCCATTTTACAGTGAACTTAAGTACTTACTTGCTGAACAAGACTCAAAAAGGGAGCAGGCTGTCCCATGTAGAAGCATAAAATCTGAGCTCTCTTCAGAGAGGCCAGATCCTTGGGGTATCTTTTAAGTAGCTACAAAACCATAACTTAGATTCAAACAAGGGACTCATAATGACACTTACAAACTAACTTCAACGTTATTGGTAGGTTTTCAGAGAATATTTTCTGTACATACGACCTTAGAATCATCAGAAAGCCGACCATAACCACGTATATAGGTGCCAGATTCACAAAGATAAAATAAGACTATAGAATAACAATGGAAGTGAGAAACTAAACCTCGTTGTGCAACTTAAGAGCCAAGTCATCATCTCTGTCCTCGGAGATGAGGTAACTAACAGCCTCGAATACAGCTTTCTCATAAGATGTAGCTTGTTCCTAAATAACAACCGAGTTATACTTAAGAAAGAAACAGAACTACAAAGGAATGAATATAAAGAAAAAAAAAGACTAACAAGATTGGATCTTGCAGCTTCAACATAGGTTTTAGCTTTGGAAAGATCCGATGTGGAAAGGTAATGAGCAGCTAAAATGTTTCCTAAAACACAATCTTTATCGTAGAGTGGTGCTTCTAGAATCACTTTGTAGTTCCTACCGTAGCTAAGAACCTGGAAAAAAAAAACACGATCTAATTAAGAATCACTGATGAGATCAAACTGCAAAGATCGAGATTTTATACATCACAGGCCAGAGAAAACACACATCAGAAACAGAACTCTCCGGTCTTTGTTATGTTTTGTAAGGAAAGAGAGGAAACCTGATGAAAGTAGGAGTCGATTGCCTTGATGCAATCATCGGAAGAGGTATTAACCTCGTAACCCCACCGTACACATCTCTGTGGCTTCTCCATTTCACAGAGCTTCTTGTCGCTGAAAACTTGAAAGTTTCTTACACGGTCGAGAAATGTAAGAAACTGAAATCCTTTGCAAATTGCTTGCTTTATTCCTTAACATAAAGTTTGGTTTTATATACAACCTAGACATTTCATTTTCCAGCTAGACTCAAATCAATGCAAGAAGTAAGAACAACGTGTACGATATGGTTACCATACATATATGGTGTATCCCCTAATAGAGACATTTAAAACATGGTGGAAAAGGCGAGATTTGCATTATACTTGTCGTCATCAATCATTCACGAGTACGTCTATTGCGGATCAGATGCCGTGTTGCACTTAGCCTTTTTTGGATATTCCAGTTATCCGTTTAACTCTACAGGTCAGCATCTCCAATAATATCCATTCTTTTCAGGAAAAACATAAAAAAAAAACATGAGGAAAATATTCCACAATGTTACATCATTTTGAAATGATAAAAATGGGGGTATAAATAGTAGGGAGAAAAACTAATTTAACCCTTATTTATCAATTAATTACTAGTATAACTCTAATTTTATTTTAGTTACTAGTTTATTTTTCATACCTAATTTACCCATATTTTCTTTGTTAACAAAAAAAATAATTACACAAATGTCATTAATGAATTTTTGGAATATTTACGATTTTTCCACCGACATACTTATTTTTTTCACATTTTATGTAACCACAAACTTAATATATTCTTCTTTAGCCACAGATTTATTTAAAAATTATAGACTTAGTAAGATTTCCACAGATTTATTATAACAAATTTATCACGTTTAATCACTGATTTATTAAATTTTGACAGATTTAATTAAAAATTGTTAGATTTAATTTATTTGGCCATGGATTTACTTAATCTGAGCATATTTATGTAAGATTTGATAGATTTATTTTTTCTTTAGCCACAGATTTACTTGTGTTTTACATATTTATTTTTGATTTGGTTGACTTATTATTCTTTAGCCACAAACTTATTAAATTTTGACAGATTTAGTTAAGATTTAACAGATTTATTTTTTCTTTGACTACAGATTTGTTACAATTTGACAGATTTGTTTAAATTAAAGCGTCAGATTTGTTTATAGTTTGGCCACAGAGTCAGATTTGTTTATATTTTGTTTTTTAAAATCCTCCTTAACCGAAATGGCTATTTAATTAAACTAAACCAAATTTATTTAACTAAAGGAAACCAAATTTATTTAATTGAACCAAACCAAAATTATTTAATTAAACCCAACCACATTAATTTAAACCAAACAAAGAAATGCCTTAATCCACAAATCCTTCACGTGTTTGCCTTGTTTTTATTTGTTGACGTCGAGTACCTTTTTAATGGTGTTTTGAGATTGACAAGTATTTATTTTCATCTTCTCTCAAGGTGCAAATAAAAATTATTTTGGTCATTGGATTTCTGGTAAAAAAATAGTTATATGGTGTTGACAAATGAATGAGGAATAAAGTTATAGCCGTAGATGACAAAACTAGTTATGATGATTTTGTTCATATGGTGAGCAAATAGTACAAGGTTATTGAGCAGATTTACGACGTGGAATTGAGCTACATATATCCAAAAACGAGGAATGAAATACTGAAGATATATATTTTTAATGTTTTTATTGTTAAGGAATTAAGAGCATCATTATCTCTAAGAAGTGCTTAAATTCTTTTCTTTTTTTTTTTAATTTTTTTTTCTGGTTTAGAAAAAAAAAGAAAAAAAAAATTAATACATGAACTAATTACGGGCCGCCACGTGTCAATGGGGCCTGTAAATAGTGCAAGCACCCTACCAACATTGATGCTTAATTAAGCTTCACAAGCAATGGTGCTTGAGATTTGTGTGAGTCCCACCCAATATTATACTATTTTTTTGTTAAGCACTTTCTTTTAAGCACCTTGGATAATGGTGCTCTAAGGTATAATTAAATTCTGATCTGCACGGGCGTGCAGATCAGTGTTTAAAAGAAGTTATATTGTTAAAAAAAATGTGTACATGATTGACTGTATTCTGATGCTTATAATATTTAATATATATTTAATATGGTTTTATAATCTATATGCATCAATTTTATTAATTGTTATAAATTATCATCATTTTGGTTATATATTTTTTTATGGGTTAAAATTTAAATGTATATATATATATAAAAAATGAAGGTGAATTATCATTTATTTTATGTTTATATATTATTTTATTTTATTATAATAATCTATTATTTATGTTAAATATATTTTTAGTTTTAATAATAAATAAATAGGTATTAGATAATATATTTATTATAAATTTACACACATTTAATATACATATTTTTAAATGTAAGGAATATACATATTTGAAGTTATTAATAAACATTAATTTGGTTTTAATAGCTTAATTTGTTGGTTAGTTGCAATCAAATTTTTAGATATGTATTTATTAAAAGGCTGATGATGAAGATTACGCTATAAAGTATGGGATAATTTCAATTATACCATTTTGGTGATACCACTTTTCATGTTTATCATAGACAAATGAACATTTTCAAAAGTACACATTTTATTAAAGAATAAAAGACTCTTATATCCTTGTTCTTTATATATATACATAAAATAAATATTAAATAAAATATTAGCCCTAAACCCTAAAACATCAATTCTAAACTCTAGACCCTAAAAAGTAAACCCTAAACCCCAAAAATCAACCCTAAACCCTAAAATATCAATTCTAAACCTTAAACCCTAAACTCTAAACCCTAAAAAGTAAACCCAAAACCCTAAACCCTAAATTCTAATAGTATTTTGATTATTAAAATTTTAATGGTAAAGTTGGTTAGTGTAAAATTGAAAAGTGGTATCTTGAAAGTTTATTTCTGGCAATTTTCCATAGGAGTAAGGCAAATCTATTAGAAAATTTAAAGTATGTTTTTTCACCAACTAAGGAAAATAAACCTAAAGAGGCAAAAAGATATTTCTACTAGTATTTTATAGATATATAATAATTATTGAAATAATAATTAAAAATAAATAGTTTTTTTAATTACACGTTTTTAATTCAAACTTATATAAATATTTTTTCAAAATTGAACTTCAGTAAAATTATTTAGAATATTTACTTTATATTTCTTTTACTTCCAAAACCTAAACACCACACATGAGATCTAGGATTAGTTAATCTTAAAGACATAAGTGTCTATTATCCTTTGAGACTAGTGCAAACCAATACAAACTACAATCATAAGCTATAACTAGGTTACCATACCACCAGTAATAATCTCAAACTAACAAGTATGACGGTCTATTGTTGGTAATGAAACTCCATTTAGTATCTTATTTGGTTTAGTGATTGAGTCGTTGTAATTAAGTGTTGATACACTGTCAGTTACACGTAATTTCATGAAATTTTTTTAATCATTCTGTTAGATCTGAAATGGTATCAGAGCATTCTCCAAGCTTCATTCATCTTTCGATTCTATTCATCTCTGACTTTTTTTTTCAAATTCTTCAATAAATCTTTTATTTTCGTTCTTATCATCGATCGCGCTTTATTCTGATCTTCTTCTCGAGCTAATCCAAACTCATCTGAGCTCATATTCATCGATTGAGCTTTACATCAATAGAACCTATGAAATTTTTTGAAGAAAATGCCATCGGTTAAACTACCGCAAACCACTTCCTCAAGAACCAAGTAACAAGAGCTTTATGAACCGGCAACTAAGAATTACATTAAATTCTAACACAAACTCGTAGAAGACAACCATTGAACGTCTAGGTAAGATGCTATAGTGAAACAAAACTCCAGGCGCTCTGATCAAACAACTAAGAGCGAAAGCCACCAATCCATAACACAACAAGCACATGCCATGAACAGTACAAAGACGGATTAGACAAATCCACAACAAACTCTAACAACGCAGCCAAAACGTGTAAAGGAAAAGATACAACCAGTAGCATGAATTATATGGAAAATCAACAAAACTATACAAATCTAGACCAAAATTCTTTGACAAATGCTTTTGTAGGTAAATCAAATAAATCTAAGATCCGGAACTTTTATCTTATAAATCTACACTAGAATTGAAGGTATATGTTGATTTGGGCAAAAACATATTTCTTCACAAAACAAACCAAAGTCACACGCCGAACTACAACAAAGAAAACTTGAAAGGAAAGGAAAATTCGGCATAGAATATATATTAAGATCACATATGGATTTACACAAAACTTATTGCCACAAGTAAAAGTGTCTCTTCTTTATTTTTAAACTAGATTTTGATCCGCGCTTAATAGCGCGGAAATTTTTTATGATTAAAAATTTATATAATTTGGTTTTGTCTTAATTTAAAGAATATTTTGATATAAAATCAGTTCATCAAAATTTGTGATGATGATTGTTTTTCATTAGTTTTTAGTTTTACTTTTTATTTTTAGATTTTGGTTTTTGGTTTTTAGTTTTTAAGTTTCTACTTTTCATTTTCAGTTTTTTGTTTGGGTATTTAATTTTTAAACCCGCTAAGTTAGTTTGAACTGATATTACCAACAAACAAATCTCAAATAATCGAACATCTAATTTAAAATTGAAAAGATAAAAACAAATTTTTTTAAAAAAAAATTGAAATAGTTTATTTTGTAAATAAACAAAGCAAAAAAATATAATATGTGTTTTCATCTTTTGATTTTGGATTTAAGTTTTTAGATTTGGTTTTTGGTTTTGCTTTACATTTTTTTAATCAGTAAATTATTTAAGAAAAATAAAACAATAAATTATTTAAAAGTTACAATTGAAATTTATCAAAACAAAGTGGTTGTTATTTAAAATAAAAAATATATTAACATGTTTTAAAGTACATGATTTAAATAAATGATTAATAATAGATAGTTTTGTTAAAAATATTAAATACCTTTTGGGTCTGAAAATAATAATTGATTTTTTGATCTTTTAAGGTGAAAAGTTTATTCAATGTTTTTTGGAGTTTTTTCTTAATACTAAGCCCAAAAACCAAACTATATCATTTGTTCAAAAAATAAAAGTAAACCAAGACTATATTTCATAAATAACCACTGGTTTAATTTAAGTATAATTAGTAGATTTCTATATTCCATATTTTGATGATATATATTCGTTTAGAATATTCCATATTTGTAGGAGAAAATATGTATTTTCGGTATACACATAGATATCTGTTGTATTTTGAAGGTAGTTTACATTAATTGTGTTGGTTTAATTTAAGTAAAATATGGTTCAATCAATTATATGACTTATATTATTTGTAACATTCTAGAAATGGTCCAAATTTAAATGACAACTTGTATCAGTAGATTAAAAAAATGACTATATTTTAATAGAATAGATAGTAACACTTATTCCAAAGGATATTATACTTTTTATCTTTGAAACCTGTAAACATTTTTTTTTTGTAAGATGTTAAGATTATCCCCTATTCATTATTTGCGAAGTGATTTTGCCACATGTCGTCTCTAGAATCAGTTTCACATAAAAAATGGTGACATGTCAACTAGAATTGATGACATGGCCTATGATTAAATATGACATGGACAATTGCATTTAATGTTAATATATATTTTCGGAAAACTTTATAGAATATGGTAACAACTCATATATTAAATTTAATGTCGATTTATATTTTTGGAAATATTTTTTAAAATATGGTAATAACTCATAAATCATCATTAAAATAAATATATTCCAATATGGCATTAAAAATTAGAAAATATCATTTAATTATATATTTTAAAATTATACAATTTTATTACAAAATTTTCAAAAATGTATACCTTTTTGAAAATTATTAAAATTTAATCGTAAAATTATTAATTTATTATATATTTACAAATTTAATAAATATTGTCTAATTTTAATTTTTGATAATTATAAAAGTTTCTACAAATTTATTTAATATACTTAATTAAAATAAATAGATAAAAAATCTGTCTAAGATTATAATTTTAAATACATACATGCATATTCTTAAATATAATTTAAAATAAACAAAAATATTTTTATGTTACTTTTTATGTTACTTTTTATGTTTAATCAAACGAAATTTTGTATTAAAATAGTGATAAGAAAAACAAAATTTATAATGTTTAAAATTTTAAACATAATTTATATTGTATCTGTTAAAAAATATTTTAATTTATTTTATTGCGCACCAGGTGCAGTGCAGGAGAACACCTAGTTACATATATAAACACACACAAACAACCCAACTTAAATAAAAAGAGAAAGAGCTTCAAGGAGGCCTAATACATGAGAATTAAAATAGAAGCAGAGAGGAGGAAGAAGATCTTGCAGGGTAAAGATAAGAGACGGTCTCGCATCATCCCGTCGAGGGAAGAATTGATGACTGTTGCTGGTGACGTGTAAACACCTTATTAAGCTAGTATCAAGAATAAGAAGAAGCAGAGTTAGAAATAAGAAGATTCAAGCTTCTTAGCTCTCTCTCCTGCACTCTCAGCCTTAGCATTGCCTTCCATGGCATAACTTTTCTCCTGCAACCACAAACACAACTCTCATCACCAAAATCCATTGACACATGATAAAACTATGTGAGATCCTGCTTGAGAATGCATTATTATGTTTACCAGTAAACGCCACGTGAAAGGAACACCATCTCTGACCTTGATCCTCTCTCTTATCACTTCTTTGGCTGCATACATTAGAGCCAAGAGCATTCATTGTTATATACCAAATAATATAATTATTTAATAAAACTGATTTTAAAGACTCTACAAACAATCCGTACCAGTGGAGGATTGGCCTGTCTTCAGCAGCAGCTGGCACCACATTTCGTTGAAAACATCAATCTGTTCATCTGATGCCGCAATCATCTGTCATCAACCATCTAACAGAATCAATTGAGGAGTTTGATCCAGAATTTTTTTGAGTTAATAGATGGAGATTTGTTTTACCTTGTAACCAAAGGCATTAAAATCTGGACCAAGTAGGTCTAGAGCCTGTTTGTAGTTACCCTTTGCATATTCATAAACAGCTTCTCCGAGCTAATATGAAAAGAAAACAAGCCTAATATTAAGGAGTGTGTAAGAACAGAGAAGAAGGTCAAAAACGGTGGGGAACAAACCTGAATCCCTTTCTGCATCACTTGTTGTTTCTTCTTGTTCATCTTTGATACTCTGCAAGTACTAACATACTAGGTGATTTTCCCGTGCTCATGCACGGGTATGAATATTCATAAAAGTAAAATTTTATAATAATTGATTGATATTTAGTTTTAGTTTTGAATCAATTAATATGTATAATTTATATTAATAAGTATTATATTATTCTAATTATACATATGACTTTGGATATATTATTGTCAGTGTAATTAAATAATTGATTGATATTTAGTTTTATTTTTGAATAAATTAATATGTATAATTTATATTAATAAGTATTATATTATTCTAATTATACATATGACTTTGGATATATTGTTGTCAGCGTAATTATTTTTCGGATCAATAGTTGGGTTGGTTATCAATTTGGTATATTTGATAATATGTATTTTTCGAATTCGGCTATAATATTTTTTAATCTAAATATAATAAAACTTTGATTGATTTCCTTATTTTTATTTCGTTTGGTTATTGTCTTTAGATATGTAACTATATTCTTAGATATGTAAATATATTATAGCTAAATTATGTATAACTTAATATATATTGTGCTTAAATGAAATAAATAATTATTGATATTTACTATTCGTTTTGAATCAATTTATATGTATAATTTATATTAATAAATATTATATTATTCTAATTATACATATGACTTTGGATATATTATTTCCGGTTTAATTATTTTTTTTATCAATAGTCGGTTTGGTTATCAATTTGGTATATTGGATAATATCTATTTTTCGAATTCAGCTATAATATTTTTTATTTTAAATATAATAAAACTTCGATTAATTTTCTTATTTTCATTTCGGTTGGTTATTGTCTTTATATGTAAATATATTCTTAGATATGTAAATATATTATAGTTAAATTATGTATAACTTAATATATATATATATATATATTGTGCTTAAAATGAAATTAATAATAAGCTGAAGTGTTTGATTCAAAATTAAATAAATGAATGTAATGATAATATTTTGAAGTCTCATGCATATATATAAATTCTAAAAAGAATTAAATTGTAACTGGTTAATATTTTTTTTCTTTTTAATATGCTTTGAGTCAACCTATAATTTATATGTATAAAACTAAATATATTATTATTATTATTATTATAAAATTATATGTTCTTATTGTAGTTAGATGATTAATTTTGGATATAAATTAGATTATTCGAGTCATTCATTTTGTGAGTATATTGAATATAATATATTTTTAAATTAAAATTGAAGAATAATTACTTTTTATTTTAGTTAAGTCAAATCAAATTATTTTTTATTTATCTCTTAAATATACATGTATTTTCATAATATTTATTTACTATTTATTTTATTTAAGTCAAATCAAATTAGTTTTATTTATCGCTTAAATATACATGTATTTTCATAATATTTATCAAATTATATGTTGATTTCTAAAAAAAATATTAGAAAATAAAGTGCAACTGATAAGTTTTTGGATGTTCATGAACACATACATTTTTATTATTTTGAAAATATATTTTATGTTATTTTAAAATATATATTAATGGGGTATTACTATTTTGTGAACTTTCCTTTTTAATAAAGTCATATTATATACATATATTTTCGTTTTAATTTGTTCTAAAATTTTAGAAATATTTCCTTTTTATTATATATGTTATTTGGAAAAAGGTAAAAAAAAACTAAATAAAAAATCATAATCTTAAAATCTAACAATTCCTTAAGGGTATCTATGTAATCAACCATCGCGAGAGTTAACATGAGCGCGACACGTAAGAAACTGACTTCTCAAATAATATTATAGAGATTTTCACAACATATCTAATTTCTTAAGAGACTGCATAAGAAAAGAAATTTCACACTAACCGGAACTTCAAACCCTCGAGTAATTCATCAGCTTTTGAAGTCTCTCCAGCCTTGGCTAATGCCCAAACTATCAATATGTCAAGGTTCCATTTCAAGTACCAGCTTTCCTAAAGATGTTAAAACCGAGAAACCAACTATCATTCCATATATCAATAAAACCCATTGCACAAACACATATCATCCCACAAGCGCATGGCTTACCTGATCAGTCAAACGAGCTGCAAGGAGTTTGAGACGGTCTTCAAAGGAGCCTTTAAGAGCATCTCTTACATCCAAACGCACTAACAGACCAAGAGCATTGGGATAAACCTATATAGTTGGAGACATTTTGAGTATTGGATAGAGGGAAGTAAAAAAGCATAAAGTTGCTAAATCCAAAAGAGGATTACTTCGGAAGGAACTGCATCGTCTTTCTCCAATTCCTTCCAGATGTGATTATCATAAATCTCCTCTATTTTGCTCATTGGTGACCCTCCTTCCAAGTAACATAGAGCAATATGCCACCAATTGTGTGCATACCTGAAAATATTATCTTGATGATAAGAGATGAGCTTTTATAATATGTGAGAGGCAGAGCCATCAGGAAATGGTTTACATGAAGGATGAGCAAGAGTGCCAAGATTCTGCGAGTTCTTCCATGAGCTCCACTGCTTCTTTAAACTTGCATTCATGGTGAAGAACATGACACAACTGCAACCACAAAAAAAAAGTAAGATAAAAAACTACTGAGTGATAAGTATGACATGGAAACTGAGAAGAAAAATGATGCAAAAATGTTGAATGAGAAACTCACACAGTGATGTGCCCAGGCGTCTTCTTTGTTAATCTCATAGCCCTTTTTTGAAGCTGCAACAGCTTCTTCCATTCGACCAAGTTCTAACAAAGGGAACGCAAGCATACCGTGTATGTAACTTTCTTCTTGATTCACAGGTAGAACCTACAAATATTTAGCAGATAAAAATATCAACTTTTAACAGCCTTAGACCGTGAGAATATCTGTTCAGTGACAGTCACTTTTACTGTGAACTTAAGTACTTACTTGCTGAACAAGACTCAAAAAGGGAGCAGGCTGTCCCATGGAGAAGCATAAATCCTGAGCTCTCTTCAGAGAGGCCAGATCCTTGGGGAATTTTTTAAGTAGCTACAAGTTTTAAGAGAATATTAATCTTTTATCAAAAAAAAAATTAAAAGAATATTGATATGTATGTACATAAGACCTTAAAAATCATCAAAAAAAGCCACAAAGCTTCACATTTCGAATCATAACCAGGCATATTGGTGTCAGATTCACAAAGAGGATAATAATGTTTCAGATAAGTTAGAAAGCAACCTCGGTGTGCAATTCAAGAGCCAAGTCATCATCTCTGTCCTCGGAGATCATGTAACTAATAGCCTCGAAAACAGCTTTCTCATAAGGTGTAGCTTGTTCCTAAAGAAAAACGAGTTACAATAGTAAGAAAGAATCAGAATAACAAAGCAGTGAATATATATTAAAAAAGGACTCACAATATTGGATCTTGCAGCTTCAACATAGGTATTAGCCTTGGAAAGATCCGATGAGGAGGAAAGGTAATGAGCAGCTAAAACGTTGCCCAAAACACAATCTTTGTCATAGAGTGGTGCTTCTAGAATCACTTTCCCGTTCCTCCCGTAACTAAGAACCTGAAATGACAAAGATGGATAACATTAAGCCAGAGAAACACACATCATCATCTGTCTTTGCTATGTTTGGTAAGGAAAGAAGGATGATCCATCCAATAAGAAACCTGATGAAAGTAGGAGTCAATTGCGTTGATGCAATCATCGGAAGAGGCATTAACCTCATAACCCCACCTACACATCTCTGTGGCTTCTCCATTATATTTCAAAGTGAGCTACTTGAAAGTTTCTTACACGGTCGAAAATGTAAGAAACTGAAATCCTTTGTAAATTGCTTGCTTTATTCCTTAACATAAGCGTGGTTTATATACACAAACCTTATAGACATTTCCTTTTCACAGCTAAACTCAACCAATGCATGCAACAAAATCGTGTACGATAATGTTTACCATACATATTTATGGTGTATCCAGGGGCGGATCTACCAAGGGTGTGGTGGGGGACCCCGGTAAATTATTGAACATATATGTTTGGTATGAGAAAACAGGAATAATAGTCAGCTCTAGTGGTGTTGTTTGCTATATTGACCCCCCTAAATTCAGGTTCTATTCGCTAGTTGACCCTTTTTTCAGTATATTTACAGATGTTTTTTCTTTGATATCTGAAAAAAAATTACAGCCTAGACACGTTCGAAATTTCACAGAAGAGAAAAGAGTTTCTTACACGTTCGAAATGTAAGAAACTGAAATCCTTTATTGTAAAATTGCTTGCTTTATTCATTAACATAAAGTTTGGTTTTATATACAACCTAGTCATTTCCTTTTCCAGCTAGACTCAAAACAATGCAAGAACAACGTATACGATATGTTTACCATACATATATGGTGTATCCTAATAGACACAATCAAAACATGGTGGAAAAGGTATGGTTTCGTTATATACACATGTAAGATAAGCTTATCTACTCTAACAAACTTATAACAACCTATTTACATGCATTATACTTGTCGTCATCAAATCATTCACGAGTTCGTCTCTTGCATGCCACGTTGCACTTTGTTTTTTCTAGGATTCCAATTAATCCGTTTAACACGTGAGCATCTCCAATAATATAAGAGAAAATCTGGAGACCAAAGAAGTAATGTGCTCAAGCTGAAACTCAGTTACTCTTAAACTCAGATCAAGACAAGGCTACAAGAGTTGAGACAAGCCTCTGTTTACAAATGGAACATTGGATTTGTGTACCGAAGGAAATGGAAATCCCAAACATAACAACAATAATACAACAACGGTGCTAAGTCCTCAGCTTTATGTCTTGGAAATGACAAGGAAGTAAACAGAGAAGAAAACAGAGACTGTGGTCCTTGTGGTCCTGCATCGTAGGGAGAAGCTCAGTCAATAACGTTGTTGAGGAACAGATTCGAACTTCTGGAATCCAATGGTGAGCTGGAACATTGAGCAAGACAGCTGGTTACCTTACTAGGGTTTTATGTATTTAGTATAAATGTCTCGAAGCTCTCTGTAAAATGTTAAGAAAAACAAGAAATGAAAGTTAAAAGTTATCTTCATTTTCTTAAGCTTCAAGCTATTTCTTCTTTGCTTTCATAATATCCATTATTTTTAGGGAAAACATAAAAAACGGACATAAATTGTAAAGCACTTCTCTCAAAATATTTTAATACTAGGATAAGACCCGCGCCTTACGCGGGATGAAGCTATTATTTTTATTATGTTTTGAAAAATAAAAAAATAGTTCGGTTTCATTCGGATTAAAGGTGTTCAATCCGGATATCGGA